ACAGGACGCCGAGGTGATGTCCTCGTTTCTACATCTGGAGGTGATGTTCTTGTTCCTCGTTGCTGCTTTTAGATATTTTTATCGTTCTTCCTTCCTAAAAACAAAATAAAACAAACAAAACCCCTCAGCCTCCTTGAAGTGCATGCCATCAGACCGCTACCCTTCTTTCTGGAAGCTGTTTACCAGCCCCTTGCTAACTCTTCCTTATGCGACAAAGATTTTAGCATCTAGTCTTCTTTCTATACACCCGTGATGGGTGACTTTTTTTTTTTTTTTGAGACAGAGTCTCGCTTTGTTGCCCAGGCTAGAGTGACGTGATGGGTGACTTTAAGGTCCACAAAAATTATCCTTATAAACACCCTAACCTGTCAGTTCCTTAATCTTCTCCCTTCCAATATTAGTTTCTTCCACTCCATTTCAGCAAACCACCACCATGGTCGTATATCTCGATATATTAGAACTTATTATTAGCACATCACTAGATCGCCTTCAAAAATCTTGATTTCTAGAATTCTGTATTCTTATGGCTGATCATCTCTTTCTAGTTCTACTCTCTTCACCACATCCAACCAATCCCTTTGGAGCAATCCAACCCAGTGACCTGCCACTTCTTGACTGTCCATCTTTCCACTTACATTACTGTCCTTTCTCCTTATAGACACTCTCGGTGACAGTTCCTCTCCCACCCCACCTTATTAGAGAAACCCAGCCCTGTCTTAAATCTTAATCTCTATCTTCTTTTTACATCAGCACCGAGCAGTTGAACATTGATGGGGAAAAATATGCAACCACGTTGACTAGTCTTACTTCGAAGATGTTTTGACTCTACATTTCCAATCAGTTCTTACCCTGTTTAGCAATCTTCCTACACTGCCCTGGTCTCTTCCACTTTTCTAGATAATCATTTCACACCTTTACTCTTCCTTCTTCAAACCTCAAACATCCCTACCCCATTTCTTACTGTTAGTTAATGACTGCCTTTTAGATTTGAGAAAATAGAAGCCATTGGAAGAAAACCACCTCATTTTTTTTCTCCATTAAATCTATCAGCCTGGCCGGGCGCGGTGGCTCACGCCTGTCATGCTAGCAACTCTGGGAGGCCGAGCGGGATGATTGCTTTATGTTAGTACTTCGAAACCAGCCTGAGCAAGAACGAGACCCCCCCCCCGTCTCTACTATAAATAGAAAGAAATTAATTGACCAGTTAATATATAGAGAAAAAATTAGCCGGGCATGGTGGCACATGCCTGTAGTCCCAGCTACTTGGGAGGCTGAGGCAGGAGGATCGCTTGAGCCCAGGAGTTGGAGGTTGATGTGAGCTAGGCTGACGCCACGGCACTCTAGCCTGGGCAACAAAGCGAGACTCTGTCTCAATCAATCAATCAATCAATCAATCAATCAATAAATCTATCAGCCCGCTAGCACCTATGCTTTTGCCTTCCCTCTGTCATCTTGCAGAAACCATCCGTGCCCCCATCTGAAGCCACCATTGCCGCACCTGCGTTGGATCTTGTCTTTTCGGATCAACTATTTCAATCCAGCAACGTCGCCTGCATCCATAATTTTTTTCTTCTTCTTCATCATTCCCATCAGCAGACGGCAGGATATAAATTCTCTCCAGTGTCCTCATCTCCCTTCCACGATCGCCACATTTTCCTACTTCCTGTCGTTGAAAGAGTCCATGAAAAAATGTCTATTTTTACTGTGTTCACTTTGTCACCTCCGTTTTCAACTTGACTCACTCCGTGTTCAGCCTCCCAGCATTTTAACTCGCTCCACTCCGACACCACTCCAACTGGAATGCTGGAACGGGCTCTTCCTCCTCAACTCTTGTCGAGGACAGCAGCCAGCCAGGCGTGGAAGTGTGGCCTGGAGTCCCAGCTACTTGGGAGGCTGAGGCAGGAGGATCGCTGGAGCCTATGAGTTTGAGGCCAGCCTGGGCAACATAGCAAGACCCCATATCTGGGGGGGGAAAAAAAAGTCCAACAGTGACCTCTATCTACCCAAATCCAGTGGTCATATCTCAGTTCTCATCATGCTTGGCCTCTCTTTTTAAGTTAAATTTAATTTTTCTTATTTCAGCATATTATGGGGATACAAATGTTAAGGTTATGTATATTGCCCATGCCTCCCCTCCCCCATTGAGTCAGAGCTTCAAGCGTGACTATCCCCCAAACATTGCACATCTCACTCATTATGTTTGTACATACCCATCCCCTCCTCCCCCTCCCACCTGCCCAACACCCAATAAATGTTATTCCTATGTGTCCACTTAGGTGTTGATCAGTTAATACCAATTTGCTGGTGAGTACATGTGGTGCTTGTTTTTCCATTCTTGAGATACTTCACTTAGTAGAATGGGTTCCAGCTCTATCCAGGAAAATACAAGAGGTGCTATAGCACCATTGTTTCTTAAAGCTGAATAGCACTCCATGGTATACATATACCGCATTTTATTAATCCACTCATGTATTGATGGGCATTTGTGTTGATTCCACAACTTTGCGATTGTGAACTGTGCTGCTATACACATTCGAGTGCAGGTGTCTTTTTTGTAGAGTGTCATTTGTTCTTTTGGATAGATGCCCAGCAATGGGATTGCTGGATCAAGTGGTAGATCCACTTGTATCGCTTTAAGGTATCTCCATATTGCTTTCCACCATGCTTGGCCTCTTAACAGCATTTGATTTGATGACCATTCATTCCTTAAACATTTCTTCACTTGGCTTCCAGATCTCTACTCTTCACTGCTTCTCCCACTTCTCTGGTCACTCCTTCCAAAACTGTTAAAGGTCGGAGCACATTAGGGCTCGGTCCTTGGCCTTCTCTTTATCTGTGCTCCCTTATGTTCATTTCCTTGGTCGTCTCACCTAGTCCCATGGTTTTAAATACCATACACTGAAACCTCTCCAATTTCTCTCTCTGAGCTCCAGCCTCACATCCCAGTCCTACTTGATAGCTCCTCTTGTTGTGTTTGGCATTTCCAACTTTGATTCCTGATTTCCTTCCCCCAATCATCTGCTCCTTTCCAAGTGTTCCTCTTCTCAGTAATTGGCACTCACCTTCCACTCCCTTGACCTGGGAGTCATCAGTACTTTCTCTTTCCATCGTATCCGATCCATCAGCAAATCCAGTCAGCTCTATCATCGTAATCTATCTGGGATGCAATGAAGTCTCACTGCCACCATTGTTACCACTCAAGCCCAGGCTGATATAATATCCCCTCCAATCTTTTGCATTTACTTATTGATTGGTTGACTGATTGATTGGTTGAGAGGGTCTCACTCTGTCGCCCAGGCTGGAGTTCAGTGGAGTTATCATAGCTCACTGCAACCTCCAACTCCTGGGCTCAAGCGATCCTCCTGCCTCAGCCTCCTGAGTAGCTGGGACTACAGGCATGCGTCACCATGCCCGGCTCATTTTTCTATTTTTCATGGAGATGGGGTCTTGCTATGTTACTCAGGCTAGTCTCAAACTCCTCGGCTCAAGTGTTCCTCCTGCCTCAGCCTCTGAAAATGCTAGGGTTACAGGCGTGTGTCACTGTGCCTGGCCTGCCCATTGCATTCAGAATACAAACCCAGTCTTTATCCATGGTTACAAGGCCCTAAGGACTTGGCCCACCTCTCTGACCTCATCCCTATAACTCTCCTTCTCCCTCCCTCTGATCTAGCAACTTGGGCTTCCTGCTCTTCTTTGAACATGCCAAACTTGTTCCTGTCACAGGTGGAAAAGTAGGGCTTGTAAAAAATCTGATTTGCTTGTAGAATAGACAAAAACGTAGCTGTGTTCTGATTAATTAAGCCTACTAAGGCTCTCAAGGCTCTGATGGATCTATCGCTTGAATCAAATTGCATTTGTGATCGATTGATTTTCAAGGTGATGTGGCAATGAACTTCATGGACACGTTAGAAAACTCAGAACCATGAAGTATTTAGGATATTGCTGATGCTAATTGCTTTTTAGCCAAGTCCACCTTGATTTGGGTTATTTATGTCACAATATACTTCTTTTTCTAGCGGGATGTTATATGGAAGACCTTGCTCTCATGATTAATATATTAATAAGCATAATTAATATTTAATGAAGTCTATCTCTGGGTTCTATTGTAATCAACCCAGGATGATACTTCTCTATTTCTTCTTTCTGCATGTCTCCCACAGAAAAAGGCCCACAAATCTTTTTTCCCTTAATTCCCATTCTCCTCCTAAAACCTGTTAGGAGAATTCTACTTGCCTGAAATTCTAAGCTGGGTTAGACAATAAACAACCTGAGGGCATAGACCAGGCCTGTGTTTTTTGCTGCACACAGCACCTACCAAATTGCTTAGACACATAATTGGCATTAGAAAATAATTGGAATGAGCATGTGAATGGAAAATAGAAATACCCACGATTGCAGCCAGAAACCTAGCTTTCTGTTGGTGGTGTTAGGGCCTAATAGAGAAAAAAGACCCTATCTTTGTAGAAATCAAAATATTTCATGAAATGAGAAAGGTATTATCATATCAGAAAGTCAAATGACTGCTCTTTAAGACCCTTCCTAGAGCCAGGCGTGGTGGCTAACGCACTCTAATCCTAGCACTCTGGGAGGCCAAGGCGGGAGGATCTCTCGAGGTCAGGAGTTCGAAACCAGCCTGAGCAAGAGTGAGACCCCGTCTCTACTATAAATAGAAAGAAATTAATTGGCCAACTAAAAATATATAGAAAAAATTAGCTGGGCATGGTGGCGCATGCCTGTAGTCCCAGCTACTCGGGAGGCTGAGGCAGGAGGATCGCTTGAGCCCAGGAGTCTGAGGTTGCTGTGAGCGAGGCTGACGCCACGGCACTCACTCTAGCTTGGGCAACAAAGCGAGACTCTGTCTCAAAAAAAAAAAAAGAAAGAAAGATATCAGAGAATAGTGGGAGATGGTTCTAGACAAATAGGTTGGGGTCTGCAATGTAATTGCCATCAAAAATTAAATAACCACAGCTACTACCCTGATTCTCTGACATTATTGGCAGGAACTTCATGTCAGGAGAGAGAGATGAACTTGAAGCCTAGGTACTGTGTCCCTCACAGTCACTCACTAGTGACTTCCGCCTCCACTAGCCACCAAGAGTGGAGCCACTGCTGGTCCCACCAGCTCTGCCACTTCCTCGCTGCTGCCACCGTTTTTGCCAATTGTGTGGAAGCTTTGCAGTCACGAGTTCTCCAGTTCGAGGGACACTTTTGATGTCAGTACCATTCTGGAGGCTGGAACAAGTTGTTTTCCTCCTTGCATGAAAATTACCAGGCTGACATCGTTACCAGCTAAAAATGTTCGCATAGCAGGACTTCTATAAATAGATCCCAAACACTAAATTGTGTTGAGTGGGATTTCACAATAGCCATCAGATAGCTACATATGGTTTGTAAATCTTGTCTATGGAAAATGAGGCCTGCTAAAGTATCAGGGCATGCAAACATTGAGGATTTTCCTGAGTGGGAAAGAAAAAAAAAAAAAACCTCACAGGTAAAGATTTACGTCGCTTCACTCACTGGGTAAAGGAGCATAATTCTCTAAAGGCAAGGTGTCTCTTTGAAGGATAAATTAGAATATTGTTCAGTTATTGTGGATCTTTTTCCTATCTTAAAGGGATAGTTTACCGAAAGAGGACTTTGTGTTTTCAGTTGGTGTGTAAAAATATTCACTGTGTTGGGTACTTTATTATTTGTAGCAGACAAACAATTTCTGGTATGGCAAATATCTGGGAAAATAAAAATGACAAGCGAATTGTATGTTGTTTTACTCCTTGAACTTGAGCCTCTGTTTCTCTATTATCATATTACGTGTGTGGCTACTATATTACCAATCTGCTTATCATTTATATAACTAATTTATCAGTATTATATGTCCATGTTATTCCAGTGTTGGTTATCAATACGCTAAAATTCAGGCCAGATTTATACTTGCAGAAAGGTAGTAAAACATTAAGGCTTATATTTGGATCCTTCAAACAAACAAAAAAATAAACAAAAAAACAAGCACTATCCAACAAATGAATCTATTACTAATAATTTTGAAATAATCATGGCAAAGCTGTTTTAGGAGTATTTGAATGACTGACCAAATTCTCTTTTTCACTTAACTATAGATGACCTCATGGAAATATTTGTTCATAAATATTTGTTGTATATTATTATTCTAATTGGCTGGCAAGATTACTCTCTCTGTGTACTTTTCTGTGGCTTTTGCAGTATCTAGGAGGTACCTGGAAAACGTCGGGTGAGTAAAGCTAAATTGAGAAGATAAATCTTGTAGAAGATAATAAACTGTGTTCTGAGTCAGGGTTCTTGTCCCCAAAACCCCAACTTTTTCATCTCTTCCTGCCTCCTCTTACCTCCTACCTCTTACCTAACAAGTTTACCTGACAGTACCTTTTTTATTCATTTTTTTCTAAAATGATCAGGTAATGCTTTCAGCTATAATGAATTACACCATGTTTACCAAAACTGTCTTTCTTTACCTTGAAAAATGTAATCAGCTTTAATTTTGAATTAGATTTAAAAGCAGAAAAACAAACACACAGGCTTGTCTGGAAGCTATAATGGAATCTCCAATGCTACCACTTTAGAGTTTTTCCTGAACTTTTAATGTTATCTGTTCACAGGGCAAAAAAGCAATTGAACTTCCCCCAAGAGAATGATGACATAACTAGTAAAAATCGGCTCCTCTGGATACAACTGAAAGAGATATCCTTTTTCCATTTCCCCCAAAAATAATACCATTAAAACAATTTTAAAAAAATATTGTTTTAATTGCTGGCATCAGAATTCTTTCTTTTTTTCTTTTTTTTTTTTTTTGAGATAGAGTCTCACTCTGTTGCCCGGGCTAGAGTGCCGTGGCATCAGCCTAGCTCACAGCAACCTCAAACTCCTGGCCTCAAGCGATCCTCCTGCCTCAGCCTCCGAAGTAGTTGGGACTACAAGCATGCGCCACCATACCCGCCTAATTTTCTCTATTTTTAGTTGTTTGGCGAATTTCTTTCTATTTATAGTAGAGACGGGGTCTTGCTCTTGCTCAGGCTGGTCTTACACTCCTAAACTCAAGCAATCCTCCTAGCTAGGCCTCCCAGAGTGCTAGGATTACAAGCGTGAGCCACCACGGCCGGCCCAGAATTCTTCTTAGGAAGGATTTCTTCTTAGGAGAGGAGGAATTCTTCTTAGGGAGGATTTGAAATCTTAGGGAGGATTTCCAACTTTTTTTGTTTGGAAGGAGGCTTCAGTAAGTGATTGAGAGCCTCAGGTCCTGGATATCAGCTCATTGACAAAACTTGAGAGAGGAAGTCAAAACTGCTTAGTTTGGGAATTTGCTCTCTAGGAGGAGAGACATTCTTGGTTACTGAGGGAATACGGAGAAGATGAGGGAAGAGGGAAAAGGGGGTGTCAACAGAGTGAGCATGACCCAGGGGTCATGGCAGGGGGCCATGAGAAAGCATTGGCGGTAGGTGAATGCATGATCTCCAAAAAAAAAAAAAAAGAAAGTATACAAAAAAAAATCCTACTTTAAGTTGTTTGCAAGGCTGTGCCTAATGGAACAGCTCCCTTCAATCCTTGGCCTCCCATGGAATCTGCCAAAAAGACAATGTTCTTGTACCTTGATTGGTTGGTTTTCTTCCTAGTGGAAGAGTCTCAGAAGCGAGTCCCAAGAGAGAGAGGACGAGCCTGGAGGCAAAGGTGAAAACGGAATCCCCAGTCCCACGTTCCTGCCCTGGTAACTCACAAAAATCCTCCTGAGGGGCTTTTAGACTTGTATAAGGTACACATTCAGGCTGATCTTCTAAATCTCAAGGGGCCAGGTGTCTCCAGCTGGCATCTAGGATTTCTGGGAAGGAATGTGTTTGTTTCCTGAGGGCTGTCAGATAAAATACAGGGCACCCAGTTCAATTTGAATTTGAGATAAACAGATGGTACTGTTGAAGGGTACGTGTGTCTCAGATGTTGCATTGGGTATATTTTTGCAGCGATGACTACACATGGTCTCCAACTTCCCATGATTCGACTCACGATTTTTTTTTTTTAACTTTACGATGATGTGAAAGAGATAATGCATTCAGTATCCTAAGAGCACCCATCCAACCATTCTGTTCTTCACTTTCAGTAAAGTAGTCAATATGAGATATTCAACACTTTATTATAAGGTAGGTTTTGTGTTAGATGATTTGCCCAACTGTAGGCTAGGGTTAGTTGTAAGGTTTTTCGACGGTGGCGAAAAGAAAAGAGACACAGAAAGAGAAAGAGTAGGGGGGCCAAACCACGTGGCTTTATTATACGCTCATGGAGGAGGTTCTGGGGTCCCAAGAGCGGGGGCCCCGGAAGTCGCTGCAGTTTGAAGGGGCTGAGGCCTTTTTTTATACCCTTTGGGCGGGGCTAGGGACTTGTGGCGGGAAGAGCTGGGATTCTCTATTGTGACCTTGGAAGGTCGTTGAGAAATAGGAGGGGCTGGAGGTATTGTGGAATCCAGGAGCGAATCCAGGTGGAGATCTGGGTGTGGTTCCTCTCAGTGGGGCCTGGCAGTTTGTCCTTGGCAGGTCAGGTCACTAAGCGTTTTCTTTTTCCATCTAGGGAGGGGAGGGGGCCCCTGCCACCAGCCTTACACAAATGATCATTATTCAAAAAGCCTGCAACTCCAGAGTTGACATACAGAGTCCTCTGAGTTCTGTATTTGTTTCTGCCTACTTTAAATCTGCTGACTTTCCTTCTGATAGAGAAAAGTCACTGTTTATGATATTACTAATTCAAAGCTACTTGGAGATTTTATTTTTCTTATACAATTCAGCCAGTTCTAACTAAAATATAAACACTAAAAAATTTAACCCTAAACACATATAAAACTTTAAAGAAAACGATCAAAGAGATTCTTAAAATCAAACTGCCATAAAAACCGCTTTAACCTGTTGGAGACTAAGACCCTCCACATTCCAACGACTTGTCCTGCGCATGGGCCTCGCCCTCCCGGAAAATAGCCTAAGACGAAAATAGCACCCAGCCCCCCAGCTATAGTTCCTAGAAGAATGCATTCCATGACATGCTTGCTCCAGGGCATGCTACCTGCAATTGTTCCCAACCCCCTGCCAGGTTGGGGTTGAGTGATCCATCACAA